AAGGTGGAGGTTTTATTCCAAGGTATTCCAAGGTATTCCAAGGTATTCCAAGGTCCATTAGAGCTTATATGCACCAGCTTATTTACTAGTCGTTTCCAGAGGATAATTAGTGGCGATATTAAGCTAAGATAATGGGTGGTTAATAGCTCTTTGGGAAGGGCCGGTTGTATCGGACTTTGCACTTCTCTGTGAACTTCCGCTGGCAATAATTCTTTTCACGTGTCTTTAGGATGTCCCAGCCTTACAATATTAAAATTTTTGTCTCTTTGTAGATTTGTTTCAAAAATTCAAATATTTTTAACTGAAATTGCTATGTTCAAACAAAAATTACCTTTAATTTTCATCATATTTTTCCTCATAAATTATTCCTTAAAAATTGAAGGAGAAGAATCAAGTGACGAAGGAGAATCGAGTGGTATTGAAACCCATTATGGTTCAAATAACAACAGTGGTAATAAATTTAAATTTAGGTTGCATCTAAAAACCGGATCAGGGTTAGGACTGGTACTCGGACCTTTTTCGATAAGAAACCGTCAAAACAAAAGTTCATTTCATCGTAACTTTTTTTCTTTTTAATATTTTTTGAAAATTTTCCACTCATTTTGAAGCCCAAACATTCTCTTTCAGGGCTTATAAGCCCGGTTTCATTATTGAACCCTTTTTTAGAAGATTCGGCGTTCAGTAAATTTCATCTCCTTCCAATGTGGAAAAAAGCACTGTCCAAAAAATTAAAAAAAAATTTTCTATGAAAAAGAATAATCAAACAGATAAACTCCAAATAGTTTCGGGATACGCCCCGATGGGCAAGCAATCCATTTTAGCTTTGTTTGTGAATCCCTTAGCAAGGTATAACCTACCGTATTTCCTAAAATAGTACGGCCTGCTAAATTAGTACGGCCCCCTGAAATAGTACGGCCCTTTGGAAGAGGGTTGAAAAATAGTACGGCCCCCTAAATTAGTACGGCCCCCTAAAATAGTACGGCCCCTTTTAAAAAATATAAAAATAGACAAAATTTGATTTTCTAATCATAGTCATTATTCCTCGCAATATTTAATTAATTTATTGAATCTTAATATCTATTGGTATAGAAATAGGAGTGCTTAAGAGGATATCGGGGATTAATGGGGATTTTATCGGATTTGGAAGGATATTTATGGACTTGGAGTGATTTAAGTATGGATGAATTTAAAAGGATTAGTTGGAATCAAGGTGAATAACGAATAGTTTATAGGGCTCCGTGACTTTTGCGCCGAGAACATTTGCGCTATCATTAGAAATATATGAATAACTACAGTCGGACCTCTCTATAGTAGGGTTGTCGGATAGATGAATCAGGCCCAGGCCTAATTCATCATTTATAGTCCAGACCTAATTCATCAGCTACCGAACCTCTATTGTACTTACTGAACTTCCTTCATTCCTGGATACCATTTTTACCCCAAGGGGTACACTATAGTGAGGCTAAGATAAGATAAACTGGTAATGTAAAGAATATTTTATATTATACGTTGAAGAATATGAAATATTTAAGAGAGATATGAGGATATGAAAGGTTCTTGAGAGGTTCCCCATCGATATGAGAGGTTCCCCATCGTTCTTGATTATGGACAGCACCATAATTTTTCTACTCTCTTAATACCTCGAAATTAAAAAACTTTAAGCTTGATACAGATGTCATTATAGACGGGTCTTAAATAATTTTTAAGGTCTGCTAATTTCATGTTTGGAACAAGCTTTTGATTTGGGATAATTTCCGAGCATACTATTGTGGATACTTAAAAAAATTTAAACAAAAAAAGATTCAGATAATTTTGAAAAAGGGTTGAAATATAGTGCGGCCCCCTAAATTAGTACGGCCCCCTGAAATAGTACGGCCCTTTGGAAGAGGGTTGAAAAATAGTACGGCCGGCCGTACAATTTTAGGAAATACGGTATCTACATGCTAAAAATAAAAAAAAATAAAAAATTTATTTTAAATATTTTTTCAGAATTAACTGATGAAAAAGTTGAGAATTTAGTAGGAAAAATTAAAATGAATGAAAAATTTGAATACCAAGAAAAATATCAATCAGATTTTAATGAAACATTTAAAGCAATAGTTAAAGAAAATAAAAGTTGTGGGGAAATAAAAATAGCAGCTTATAAATTATTTAACGTAAATACCTAAAATAATTTTTGTTTTGAAAATATTAATGTTAACTAGGGTGTCAACCCTCGTTGATTGTAGGGGAATTTCCAAGGAATGGGGAAGGTAACACCAAGAGTCCTCGTTCTCTGACTTAGAAAGTTTGATGAGTAGGGCGTGTTAAAATATCACAGAAAATCCCAAAATATGCGCATATATATGCAACGAAAAAGGCCTAAATATGCAAAAATATGCATTAATAACTAAGTCCTAAAGTGCTCGGACAGATGTAAAAACACCATTTTTGAGCGTTTCAGCTGATGGCATATCCGCATGCAAAATATGCACTTGCATGTTTTGACACGCCTTATTAATGAGATATTAGATTGCCGAATTTTGACTACAGAGAACGCGAGACGCTTACATAAAAACCGTCTTACGTTTTGCAAAGAAAATAAATTTAAAAGTAGGAAAGACAAAATCGCGTCTCCTCATTCTATATCCTATTTTCTTTTGCAAGACGCTTTTTATGTAAGCACAGGAATTAAAATTAAAAAATATTTTTATTAAAAAATAAATTAAATAAAATTTAAAAAATAAAATTTCAGAATTCAAACAAAGCTGGGATATTTCATGCTGGAGTATTTGTTTGTGGAATTGGTTATTATTAAATTAAAATGTTATTGTTAAATACATATATTTTTTAGAAATACATTTTCATCGTCCAGGATTGGAATATTGGAAGCCAAAACATTTCCATACAAAATTTGCTGGCGGACATTTTAAGTATTTACTTACTGTATTTCCTCTATTAAGAGAATGTCATACTCTATTTTTCCGAGTGAGGGGTAAAACGAGGACCGCATCTAAAAATAATTCTAAATTCGAAATTTCGTTAAATATCCACAATGAAACGTAATTAGTAGAGCGAGTTTATTTATGTTTTGGGGTCGCTATAATAAAGGTCCACGAGATCGGAATTCAAAATATATACCATTCAATATGTCTCGCCGAGCTGAGTTCAAATATTTAAGAATTTTCTGCAGAAAATAAAAACTCGCATAAATACAGGCAATTGAATATCGAAAAACCATAGCGGGGAGTAAGCTCGATTTTGAGATAAAAATTTGAATATGCAAATGATAGCTTTTGAGGTGGTTAACACTTTGGGAGGGGATTGAAAAATAGAATGCCATGGCATTCTAATGGGGAAACTACGACATAAATGTTTATTTAACTTTATAATTTAATTTTTTTCCAAGAGAATATGATGGAATATTTATAAAAAATGAACATGGAGAAAGTCGAACAGCTCAAACAAAGTTATCGTTTGCTCAAATTGTTGAAGTAATTGATAAAAACTTTGCAAAAGATTACACAAAAGAAACATACAATGTAATTACCAACAATTGTCTTAAATTTGCTAGAAAATTAATTTCAAAAATTGCTGGTAATTTAATAAAAAAATTTTTTTTGAAATAATTTATAATTTAAAAGTTAAAGAAGAAAACGAACGCATTGTTTGGCCAAATTCTGTTATATTTTCTTTAGAGAAACCTTTTAAAAAGGGAATGAAAATGGCCAAAAAGTTTATAAAGAAATAGTCGAAGAAAAATTAAGAAGAAAAAGCTATTGAAGAATTTCTTTGATTTTATGTTCCAAAAAATTTTTGAAAAGAGTACATTCATTTTAGAAAATCGAAATTTTTGGCCCTGTACCCAAATAAGGGCGAAATCGTTTTTATCTTTACATTTTTCCTTCCATAAAATGTTTAATTTTTCTTTGAGTTTCAAGGGTGTTTCGTAATAATACTTGTTTTCGGGACCATGGATGTAAGCAAGGGACAATCGGGAAAAACACAAAACAAGACCAAAAACTTATATCACTGATTGTCAGCTAGTCCCAAACCGATTTTGTGTTATATGGTTTGGATCAATATAGAGGGTATACTTTCTTTTCCCATACTTCTCATACTTTTAGCACCGCAGACGCAAATTTTTAAAATTTTGGAAGATAAAAAAACCATATTTCTTCCATTCTTTAACTCTGATTAGGTTTATTCAGGAACCGTTCGCTCCCCTAATCCCCAAAATTTCTTAAACTCATGGCTAATTTTCAAAAGTTAAGAAAAACTATTATAACTTTCAGAAATTTTGGGAAAATAACAAAAGGTCCCAAACCAAGTTGGCATAAGTCACGATCACGAAGAACTGTTATGGATCCATACCATTAAACAGAAAGTTGATTTTTTAAAATGAATGTACAAATGTACATTTGCCCGTCCAAGTGTACATTTGATCTAACATTCCATTTGAAAGTGATACACATACACACATTTATGTTTTTTCTAAAACATTATTTTTATTATTTTTTAAATCCATTTTTTTCAACTAGATATGTATAAAATTTATTAGTAAGGTGCAAAATTATATGGAAATCCATATTTTTTCCTGAATATCTTAGGTTCTGAAACGCACGAAAAACACACTTTCCGTAATGGTTGCTTTCACAAATGATGACTTTCATTTACATATTCTTCCATATTTCGCCATTTTTAAGAGAAAACTAGAATAACTACGGTGCAAAAATAGTGCATTATTAGGCTATAATTAGGCATTCTAGTGTAGGAATGGCGGATCATGGGAAATCTCCGGATACCCGGAACCGAAATCTGGAACCGATCTCCGAACCGAAGATTTCCGGATATCCGAGATTTTTTCGGTTCCGGATACCCGGAACCGCCAACCTTATTCTTTTGTGACATAAAGAAGAAAACAGATTTACAATGTTTTATAAGCAAATATGAATTATTTTTAAGTTTATCCAAATATATTCAATATTAAATAAAAATATATATATTATGTAAATAAATTTTTAAATTTCCAAAGAAACGCTCTGTCTCCCCCCACAATTCTTGAATTCTTCTTTCGAACTTGTATCACAATAATTAATTTGTTTTTCATTTTTTGAGGATGATTTAGCAATGACACAGCCATTTTGGCCTAGAGAGAAATTGCTTCTACGCAGCTTTCTGACAAATAAATAATAACCTGAAAATTAAAATAATTTTTTCAAAAATTTAAAATTAATTTCTACCATCCCTCACAGCACTAAACATTAATTCCACAAGTTGGGCCCATGCCTCAAACGTGTCTGTTGGCTATAAATTTAATTTTAATTTATTTATTCTGAATATGTTTAATATTTAATTAATGTAAAAGCATTTTAAATTTTTATAAATCTCATATCAGCATAAAGAAAAATTAAAAATACAAATCAGAATAAGTAAAATACAATAATTCGAAAATCAGAATGAATTAAAAATAAAACATAAAAATTAAAAACAGAATTGGGGGTGGTATGTCCATCCAATCTTCCGCGTTATAAAATACACAATACAAAACTAATTAAATACCATAAATCAGAATAAACAAAAATAGAAGATAATTTAAAATCAGAATAACGAAATACAAAATAACACAAACACACGACCAGAATAAATAAAAATTCAAAATAACTCATCTGAATATGCAAAAGATTTTGGGTATACTGCTTTTAAACAGACAAGTAAGAACAAACGAAAATATTAAAATAATAAACACTTTTAGAGTATTACTTAACTCTATTCAAAAATACGAATAAAATAATTATTAACGCCATTAATAATCAAAAAATAATTGAATATAAATAAAACAATAAATGTATTTTTACATATTATGAAAAATCAGAATAAATAAAAATTAGAATAAACCGAAAATAATTCATTTAAAATCAGAAAAGACAACCTAAATCCACTATTTTTGTATTTTTTAAATTAAAAGTTTAAAAAATTACAGAATGTGCAGCTCCATCCAAAAAAACACATTCGGTGGTTAACGAGCTAGCCATCTCCGCAAAGAAATCAGCCTTAAATCCAAAGGGGCGTCGAGCGACTTGTTCGGCTCCAAATTGCATTGAGAGACGTCTTATCTAAAAATTATTAATTAATGGACTATCTAAAAATGATTAATCTCTAACTATCTTAAAAATGCATCCAACAAATTAGTTACAATTTTTATAGTTTTAACGTTAGATCAATTCGGTTTTGAGTTTTAGGGAGCCATTTAAAATCTCCCTATTCAAAAATATAAATGTGCCTACGCTGTCAAAATATAAAACTTGTTTTTTTAAATTCTTATTTAAATAAACTTTTTAACGAATTTTATATATTAAATAAATTACATTATAATTTTAAAATATTTTTAACAGGTACCTTTTCTCTATTAGCCAAATTACTCAAAACATCAGTTAAATAATTTCTAAATTGGTCAGCTAATCTAGTCCAATTTTCCTCTCCCAAATTAACACAAAAAGTAGCAAAATCTGCCCGGTTGTGAACCATTCGATTTAAAACACGGCTGGAAGGGTCTACACGGGATTTTTCGATGCAAGAAAGAATCTAGAAAATTTAATGATTAAAACAAAATAAAAATTTAATATTTTGTCAGCTGATTGAGGATTGAATAAAGTTAAATTTACTGGAAAAAATTTTTTCACTGTCTATATAATGCTCTACTCAATATGCAAAAATATGTTTATTGTTTTATTTACATAAAAAAATTTGTACAAACTCGACGATTTAATTTCCAGTAGTGGTGTATAGTTTTTGTAAGGGAGGTTATCAGAAACTCTCTAAATATAAATTTAAAGATTTAGCTGACTAGTTCGACTTAAAAGAATTATATTGCCTAAAATGAAAATTTAAAATTAACCAGCTTTTATAATCAAATAACAAAATTTCCCTTAGTAAACGTTAAATTTCTTACAATTTGTTGTGCCTGATTTGAAATTCGTTTTCCCGACATAGTCATTGAATCGCTCTAAAAGTAAAATTTTTTATGTTTAGACAAGAAATATTCGAACCTCATTATAAGATAACTAAAAACTCGAAACAAAATTTTAGATAATTCTATAGAAAAAGAAATTTGTCTAATATTTGGAAGCATCTTTTAGAACCAGTTTTAATTTTGAACTTAGTTTATTGCGTGCTTAAAGATTAGGAAGTCAATTATAGACTTCCTCTCAAAAATATCAGTCCTTAATTAGATTATGATTTGAACTTAAATTTCTTTTCCGTAAACTTAATTAGAATGATAATTGCTCTTTTAGATATTGAATAAAAATATATACCTATCTAAAAAAGTGAATATAAAACAAAGTTATATCGGTACTCTTGTGTTATCTCCCCCCATTTTTTATGCCCCCCTTTTTCTTCTCTTTCCTTCCTTTCTCATTGCCGCTTAAAATTAAAAAATGGTCAAAGGCAAATAATGGTCAAAGGCAATAAATTTATAAAAACAAAAAAAATGACAAATAAACATTATTCTGGAGGCCAAAATTCCGCAATTTTCTTACAAATCCATTCAAAAAAATTTTCCCCTTTAGCTTCTTGTCTACACATGAATTCTGCCAAGTAACTTTCCAAGTGATGCCGCGATGTTCCCCGATGTTTTTTATTCCTCCATTTCGCAGATCCCCAAAGACGTTCGATTTTTTGCGTGTTAGCTGCAGTTTTTGGGTCAACAAAGTTGTAGCGGTGATTAACCGTGAAGTGCGAAAAACCAGCCTCAACAAGTTCGTCATGTTTGTATCCTTTCCAGCTGTCAGAAATAATCAACGTCCCAGGACTTATGTGCTTCTCAATCTCTGCCATCAACGTCTTTGCTGATCGATCTGGAACCTATAAATACCATGAAATTTGTCTAATCTATTATAAGAAGATTAACCTGAACCAAAAAACATTCATCAGATTCTCTGCATAAGCCTCCAAAGATCCATTGTTGCGGTAGGACTCTGCCTGAATTGTTTTTCCTTTTTGTGAAGAGACTTTCGTCTATCTCTACAATCATCCCATCACCTCCTAAAAACAGCTATATTTTTAAACATTATAAAAATACCGATGAATTTGTGTGGTTTGGCTATGAGGTGATCTACACAAATACACCTTAGGTAGTTATTCCAATCAACTGTTGTGTTTGTTGGATCAATTCCCAATTCTCGCTGACAAAAATTTCCGGAAGTGTATTCAAACGACCAGCAGTAGAGGAAGCGTACTATTGTAACATATGGTAAACGACTACCTTCTAACCAATTTCCGACACGCATATTTACTTCACAACGACAATTAGATTTGCGGCATCTCCATCTAACTTGCTTTCCAATGCTTAACTTCATTTCATGTCCATTTAGACAAATTTTGTTTTTTGGTAGAATGTTTTTACCCTGTAAAAATTGAATCGCATCTTCTTCATTTTGAGGAAGTTTGAAGATATTCATTTTTCGAAAACAAATTTAATAAAAATTCAAAAATGACTCCTTTCTCAGATTGAATGTCTTTTTAAATAAATTTAGTGATTGCCTTTGACCATTATTTGCCTTTGACCATTTTTTATTTTAAGCGGCAATGAGAAAGGAAGGAAAGAGAAGAAAAAGGGGGGCATAAAAAATGGGGGGAGATAACACAAGAGTACCGTTATATCTTATAGTAAGTTTCTTTTAAATAGAGGTGTGCTCTCCATTTCAATATCGAATGTATCTTGAGGTACGATTGTAAATCATAAAATATAACAAACATTACCACTTCACTAGCCGAATCAGACAATTTCCTCTTAACAAAATTGTGTTGTCCACTACTTTTAGGAACAGCCAAATGTGAAGGAGAAGGATTTCCACTACTTTTGGGTGTCAAATAAATATTCTTTTTGTCGTTATTTAAATTAATAGAATGTCTGCTGACAGATTCAGATCGACCCATTAATCCGGCAGAACGAGAAGGTGAAGAAGCCATGGAAGAATTATTTATTGTTGTTGATAAGGTTTCGGAATTGCCAAGGGAACGAGACTATTTTTGGAAAATATAGCTAATTAATCTTTTTAATTTTAAAAGTATTTTAATTTTTTAAAGGATTACGGTTAAAAATAGATATTTTATGCAAGTTGCGAGCAAGTATTCTTTAAATAAATTCGTCATATTAATGAAGTCAAGTACGGGGTGGCACGGTTTTTAAAGGCAGGAACTTGCTTAAACTCAAAATTCAAGCTTATTAGAGGTAGGAGAGTTATACAAAGGCTTGCTAAACTCTTAAAGGAGTAAGAGTTTAGCTAAACTCAGCAAGCAGGCAACTTCGAACCTGCGATACTACTGACAATGTTCGTTTGAACTCGCTTACAACTATGAGAGTGCATTACAACCTTCAATCAAAAGTTTTAAATGCTGCTAGTTGAATCAACATTATTCAGGATTAACTCTTGGAAATAATTAAGAAAGTATGCATTTGATCATAAAAGTAAATTTATCAAAATTACTTAATATGTAAAAATACAATTATTTTCTTATTTATATATTACTTTCTCAAAATTTATATCATAATTGCAGGATGAACAAATATTTTTGGATAGAGAGTTTGTTATTAACTCTAAAATATTCAAAAATATTTGTAATGGACTAGTAGTATCATAATCGGCTAGCGCAAATTATACATAACAAAATTAAGAACTTGAATAAATTAACTTTTAACTATAGCACGGAATGTACCATATTACCAACGGAATTTTTCGGTATTTATCGGTTCCGTACCGTATTATGGTATGGTAAGATCTTGAATTTTTTGGTATTATTCGGTATTTTTCGGTAAAATTATGAAATACGGTAAGGAGTACGGCAAAGAATATGGCAGGAATTACGGTACGGATTACGGTACGGTACGAAATTCCGGGCTCTACTTTTAACTTTCTAATTCCTAAAAGATTAGAATAAAGTTTTAATCCTTATATAACTAATCGTTAATAGAGTTATACACTTCGAATCGACTCAGAAATGGAATTCCAAAAAATTCAGTTTTGAACCGAAAACTCAATTCATAAGTTAAATGAAATTTCGAAATTAAAATATAAACTTATTTAGATTAAAGCTTTAATTAATTAAAAATACAAAAAAACATACTTTCCCACCAGTCTGTTTAAATGCTTTTCTTTTATCCTTAGCCTCCTCAGCTTTTACTATACGCTTCAGTGTGGGAGAAAACGGTGAAGAGTGTTGATTAATTATTCCTTTAAAGTTTTTTAATAATAAATTTTTGCTAAAAAATCCCCTACCATTTTTATTTGAATTTGTGTTTATTGAAAGCATGTTGATGTTATCTATAAACGAGGGGAAAATTGAAAAGGAATAAGATAATACATTATTGTAATCATTTGCGGACAGTTATTTTAGGGCACAGATTTTAGGCATATAGCATATTTTGCACGTATTTATGCACAGAATCTTAATATTCTACGACAAACTAATAATTTGTTTGTCCATTCCATTATGTGCTGCTTAAGAATAACTTAAGGATATAAATAGATAACTCCAATTAATTTCCAAATTGGAAAAGAAATTTATTAACCCAGTACGCAAATTGTTAAATGTCCGCAATGGAAACGATTCCTTTCCATAATAGTTCTATTCAGCTCCCATCAAATGAATGAATTTTTCCATAGAATGAACATAAAATACACCCATCTCCAGTGGAAAATATTTAATTTTTATTTTTAAAATTTTACCAATTAAATTATTTTCCATTAAAGAAGTCATTGACGCAATATTTATTGAAAATAATTTTATTTTAATATTTTCTGAAAAAAAATTTTTTTAGAAAAAAATAAATAAAATCCAAATGCAATGCTGCTTTTGGACATAAAGTAATTAAAAAACTTGTTCAAAAGAAAATTAAATTATTTTTACGAAATATATATCTTTTTTGAAAGATTTTATGGGAATAAAAAAAAGTATAGGTAAAAGTAAAATTCATGATTAGTGAGAAATTACTTAATATATGAAAATACAATAACTATTATAATTAAATATGTATAAAGAAAAATTTTCTTTAGTGAGGCCGACGTCGACGAGGTATTATATTTTTGGATGGAGAGTTAATGTGCTCTCTAAAGTTTTTGTTCATAGCTTGATAAATTCTGCGTAATGCTATGCTTACATAAAAACGATGAGCGTTTTCCGCCTAAAATAGTATGTAAAATTGAGATAGAAATAACGCCGGCGTTTTTTCCGCAAATTGAGAGTGCTTATTTAAAAATTCGTTTTAGCTGCGGAAAAACGTTAGCTTTTTTGCGCAGTTTGAGTGCTTACATAACTTGCGTTTTCCGCCTAGCGGAAAAACGCATTGCGGAAAACGCCGATTTTATGTAAGCATAAAACAGCGTTTTCTGCCAGCGTTTTTTATGTAAGCGTAGCATAATACATACATACTAGTGACTCGCCGGAACTGCAAATTTGGCCGGACCCCGGCTGAAAAAAAGTTCCGGAGAGTCAACCGGATCTAAATTTATCATTCTGGGCCGGAACCGGGACTTTGTTAAAAAATTTTTAATAAAAATTTTACATTATTCTAAGTATAAATATGGTGATCAGCGATGCTTGCAAAAATTTTGAGAATTTTGTAAAGCCTTGCGCCTAATTTCGCCCATATTAAAGATGAGAAATCATCCTTAGGGGTGTTAAAAAGTTGAGGTTTAACCGTAAATGATGAACCGTAACTCCCGGCGAAGCTCTAATACATACTATAAAATTGTGTTAATTATTCTATTAAATTTGAATGGATGACCTTTCCCAAAAAATAAGATCGAATTTAAACAATAAGATTAAATAAACTTTTAATGACACTCCCTTTCATTAAATGACTATATAAAAATGAAATATGTATAACAAACACTAGAACATCTCAGACTACTTAATATATAAAAATGGAATAATAATTATATCTATGATTACTGGAATTTAATAGAAGTCCGGTTAAAAACATAATCGGAAATT